AGCTTCTTATATACTATTAAATTAGTAATTTGAGGATAGATGTTCTTGTGATGATGACTTCCAGATTTTGGGGATAATAATAGTTATTGATTTTATTAATGAGTTTAAGTCTTCCGCATTACTTTCTGTTGATATTATATTGAAATATTAAGGTTCAGATTGGTTGGTTCGCTCACATAGGAGGGTAAGTGTGGGTGCCAGTCGCGGCCTGGGTTTGGGTCGTGACAGAAGTTGGTGTTGTATTTTTGTTCAAAAAAAAAAGAGCGCCAATTATTTAAAAAAATATTTAAATACTTTAAATTTAAAATCGCTAAATAAGTTGTCAATTTTGAATCCAAAGGTGGATAACAAAGGTATTTTGGTGCCAAAAGGTGGATGAAAAGGGCGTTTTGAAGCCAATAGGCAAATGGAGGCCAATTTTATACCATTTTCAATATTTTGATGATATTTTAGGCCCTTTTTTTCTTTTTTTTCAATTTTAGAGAAGAGTATTCGACAAACTCATTACAGAACATAGAGATATTTCACCTATGTATTTAACATTAGTTTGTGTTGAACTTTTTTTTTCAAAAAAAAAAAAGATAACTGTATTTTCTTCTAACAATTATTCTTATTATTATAATTTATATATGTAGTCCACGTAGTTCCATTTTATCTTTATCAAACTTCAAATATCTTAATATTTATCAAAGATTAACGTTTTTTCTAATATTTAGTGAATGTAATATTTTACAACTATTTTATTTGAATTATAATATTTTTTTATTTTTAAATATTAATATTGTGTTTCTTTTTCACCTGTTTCTAAAATTGTGAAGCTAAATTCTTTTTTTTTTATCTCTTCTTCTTCTAGCTTCTTCTACTTTCTCAGGTTTGCTCTTCTCAACTCTACCTTTTGTAGTTTCATTCTAAATTTGCACATTTTTCTACCTTAATAGGTGTAATAATCTGTCATCTAAACAGTAGATATTAACTTTTATGGATTGAGTTTAATTTTTAGTGTTGAAGAACATGATTTGCGTCTTCAAGCTCAGATCTATGCTTAAATTGAGTGAAATTAAGATTCCTCTGTTTTGTCTGTTTGTGAAGATGAATAGTACACACCATTTCTCCTCATCTTCATGTAGAGATGCTTCAGATCCAATTTAAGAGAAATGAATCTTTGCATGTCAGCTGTGTTACCATTGTTGATGTCTTCACCAGCTCTCGTACTCTAATTAGCCTGTTTAGCAACAAAATCGCAGCTGATGGAAGATAAAACAGGTCCAATGTTTGCTCTTAACGCAGTTCCTATAATTTTTGGAATTGGTTTAATGTTTTCTTACTTCTTAGTATAATCATCCAGAAGTACCAGACCAAGAATTTTGGGTTTCTGCTGATGGAGCTGCGATGTTAGTCCAATCGGTAAGCTATCGACTTTATGTTTCTTATAGGTCTATAGATTCGGCAATATATTTTTCCTTTCCTTTATTATTGTAGTTCATGATGTTATTATTTCTAAAAATAAATATTTACTTTTTTCCATTCAAAATTTGTAATTTCTTGATCTTCCTTTCTGATTCTAAGCATTAAGTATCTGCCTTCATTGTTTAATTTGATAAATAAAATTGTAATACATGTGTCTTTTTGTGTGTGCAATTTTATTTTCTAAAGTATTGATGGACATTTATGTCCTTCTGTGTGGGTAATTTTATTTTGTAACTATTAGCAGGAGAGAAAAAAAATGTTAGATTATATGTAAAGTTGATCACATACTTCTCTACTTCCTAAGCTTCTAGGTTAATTAGAAGCATTATTTCACTTTTTCATATTCGCCCACCAAATAGAATAACAGAAAGAAGATAATGGAGAAAGAAATTGTCTTTTGGAGATTAATTATTTTTAGGTTTTGGCTTCAAAAGAATTTCAAAACATAACC